TATCTTATTTACCCTGATCCAAATGGCCCCATAGTGTTAAAGAATAATTTTCAGGGTTGTTATAAAGAAGAAATTCACGAAAGTACACAAAACTTACAAATCTTATTTTCATCAATATTGATTGATTTGATTTCTATTTTTATCTATTAAATAATAAAAATATTAGAGAAAACAAATGAGCTTGAAGTTTATACATAAATATTTAATTGACAATATCTTTCTAAATAAATTCAAAAGGTAATATTTTAGAGTAAAGGACTTTTTCCCACCCAACGTTTGCCTTAATGACACTTTCCTACCTAAAAAGTTTCAAAATACAACTTTTCCACCCAAAGTTACTATTCTGATACTACCCAAAGTCGATTTTGGTGGCGAAAATTCTCTCCGTCAGTACCCTTCGAATCTTTGGTCTCATATCTACAAAACCCCTCTCACTTCGGTATTTGATTTCTCGCTGATTACCCGCCAACACAAAGCCAGACTTCTTGTTCTTAGACGACTTCCGACTGATTCTAGTGGCAAATATTCAATCGGTTACCACCAGTCGATCCATTGGCCTCCACACTACAAAAACCCTTTTACCTTGTCTCCTAGTAACTCGTCGAAAGCCGGTTGAGAAAGTAAAGTGTATTTTGGATATTGACGGAACATAAAGATTGGGTGGGATAGTGGTATTTTGAAACTTTTGGGATGGAAAAGTGTCATTAAGAAAAACCCTTGGTTGGGAAAAAGTTGTTTACTCTATTTTTAAATACAAAAGAACCAATATAACAAAGGTAAAGGTAACATTATATTTGGTTTCTTGAAAAATCAACCAACAAGCGTTGAAAATAAAGTTGAAACATTGATTCCTGAACGCTGTAAATAAGGAAAAAGTGTAAACTTGAGCAAGAGAAGAGAAAAAAGAACTATTGTATAAGAAAAAGAATTTGGCACTTTAATTAAAAGAAAAAGAAAACAAATAACAATAAAAATATAAAGAAATTTTAGGATAAAAACCAATAAAGATTTGAATTTTTTTCAGACTAAAGACATATTGGTAATTCACAGATCCTTTTTTATGCTTTGTTATAGTGAAATTTGGCAACCAATGGGAACTAGAGAAACATATAGTTATCAAAGCGAGAATAAAAACTAGATGATCATTCGATCTATGGCTTAATTCATTATTTGTTTCATAAATTTATTTATATATTTTTAGTTGAAATTACCAATCTATTTTTGAAGGATCTTTATCTGAGTATCAACGGAGGCCATCTTACAATCCTGAAAATGCAATCCACACACCCCCAAGGCAAGCACACATACATGATATTGAAGAAAGCCTAGCCTAAATTTTAGATCACCAAAAGAATTGCCTTGATCTAAATCAAGTGAGAAGCATCACCAAGAAAGTTTTGCATCGACCGAAAACGTGAAAACATTTTGGGTAGAGGCAACCGGATTGTCCAAGAAAATCACAAACTGCTCCAAAGTCAAAGTTGCCAAATCTACATCTGGAGCAAATGGTTGGACAAAAGTTGTATCTGGCAGTGTCAAAAGCAAAACAATGGCAGGTCAAAGTAGAAAAGGCAACGAATGCAATCAAAACAACAAAAGATAGACACAAAGAGTTAATTACCTCCTCTAGCTAGTGATTTCTTCATTGATGATTCGACGATTCCTATGTTGGCTAAAGGCCTCAATTTAATCAATATCATTAAATTAATAAAATAAAAGCGGAAGCCCAAGAACATAACTCCCGCCATACGGCCATAGTAATCAAATTCCAAGTACCATGAGAGACTCTTGTAAATTGGGATTAATTCTAGTCTATTCGAAAGCTTATTCCATTTATTGATGGAGAATCCACAAACTTTCTTGTAGACTAGTGACCGCGATTCTTTCTCTGTAATTTGGTTTATGCAAAATTTTTAAGCAGTCTATTTTTCTTCTTTTCCATCAAAGAAGAAGTTATATGAAGGATGGCTACCACTAGTAACTGATGGGAAGTTACAAAGGTTAATGTGCCACAAAATAAAACCATAATGTAAAGGGAAAGTTGTAAATAAACCGTAACTTACATTCTCCTACTTGCACATTCAACACTTAATATGTACCAATTCAATACTAATACTTCCTCAAAAATTTTCCCATAGATATATAAAATATCCTCGTTTTAAATTGTATGAATCATGGTGGTAAGTCCTCTAGAGCAACTATTACCTTCCACGAATTACAATGCAACTTTCTCTTTTGAATGATAACCATATGTGGTACATAACTTTATGAATGAAATTCTAAATATTCATTCAAGATCAACAAACAAAATTAAAACATGCATTGCCATTCTCCAAACTTCATGTATACAACTAAATAAGAGAAGACAATTATGAAATTAATGAAGTCTTTCAAATCAACAAAATGCGATACAAACATAAAGGGTATCTTAATCACATAGAAACTACATAATAAAACTAAGCCACATTTGCTCAACATGTCTCTTATAAGGAATAGGCGGTAAACCTTTTGTCAACGGATCAACAATCATCAATCTGGTATTGATGTGCTTAATAACCACTTTGTTTGCTTTGACATTTTCTCAAATCACGAGATACTTAATGTCGATGTGCTTATACGACTTCCCCTTTTATTGTTCTTGGCCAAAAACTCTACAACATAATTATCGTAGTAGTAAATCCTAAATGGCTTGGAAATTGTATCAACAACTTCAAGCCCCGAAATAAAACTCCTTAACCATATAGCATGCGATATTGCTTCAAAGCATGATACAAACTCTGCTTCAGCGGTAGAAGTAGCAACTAAAGATTGTTTTGCACTTCTCCAAGAAATGGCTCTCTTTGCTAATAAGAAGACATATGTCGATTTCGACTTTCTCAAGTTGAGGCAACCAACAAAGTCATAATCTGAATATCTAATCACTTCTAGATGATTAGGTAGATTGTATGTAAGCTTGTAGTCCTTAGTTCCTTGAAGGTATCGCATGACTTTCTTTGCAACTCTCCAATGGTCTAAACTTGGGTTACTTTAATATTTGCTCAACATTTCAATTGCATATGTAACGTCAGGTCTTGTGTAAACATGAGCATACATTAAACTCCCAATGGCGAAAGCATAAGGAATTTCTTCATTTGTTCTCTTTTTAAATTATTTCTTGGGCTTTGTTCCAAATTGAATTTGTCACCTTTGACAAGAAGTGCAACACTAGATGATCAATCCTTTATACGAAATCTCTCTAAAACTTTATTGATATAGGCTTCTTGAGACAATCCTAATGTCTCCCTAGATTTGTGTCTCTCAATCTTTATGCCTATGACCTATGAAGCTTTGCCCATAATTCATTTAGAACGCTCATAATTCATTTTGAGTAATCATAATTGGTTAAGTTTATAAGATAAACTTACTCCCACTATTCTCCATGTATATACAATGGTTATATGTATATTTTACTCTAGTAGCCAAGAACCTCTAGCCTTCGCTAGAGATCCATGACTCAACTCTTGGCTTGGAACCAGCGAGAAAGTGAAGAGCCAGACTAAGGCCAACTCAAATGATTGAACCAATGCAATCATCTCTACTTGGGTTACAAGCTCACATTACTAGTCATATACCATATATATGACTCCTTAAATACCTGAAATTACTTTCAATATTAAAAATTTAAAGTAACATCGTTTAAAATATAACTTACACCATAAAAATATTTTTATAGGTTGCAAACCAACACAAGTGAAACCACGTTTCATATTATAAAATATACTTACAACAACATGAGAATTGACAATATGTAGATCAATTAAATCTCAAGCATCCGTATGACTCAAAACATCATAGTCCTTAGAGGTCAAGATTGGTATTTTGTGAAAAATTCTTGGTTATAGGAGTCCTTTTTCATTTTTAGCTTTCATATATATATATAACTAATAACAAGATTATAGAATTAAAAAGGCTTTAAAGGAAATTCTCTAATCGTTTAAAGAAAGGGACGAAAAAGCTTACCCTTTAATATTCTCATGTTTGAAACCAATAACAAAATTCTTTGGTAAAACTGAAATCAATAACAAATTTAATACCAAATTTGAAAATGTAATTTTGACACACTATAAAAATTGTATTCCTTTAATAAAACAAAAATCACTTATAAGAAAAATCATAAGATCATAAATAAATTATTTCGGAAACTAAACAAAATTCTTTTAAAAAAAAGCATTTCGAAAGTAGATCAAAATTTATGTTGTTTGCCTTCTTATTGAATCGAGAATCGGCATCTAATTAATAATGAAAGCAATGGGAGTTTATATAGTGTTTGGCTGCCCATTATAGCAAATAAAACTCAGCCATCACATTACCACATGTTACATAATAAGCTTAAAGATGATGATGATGTTATGTACTTTGCCACAATTGCTGGAAAACAATAAATGAAAGCAGCTCATAGTTGGTTTGACGGTCAAAGAAGTTTGTTCCCTTTTTTAAGTTTGGGTTTTATTTTGTGACCATCTACTAGAATAAATTAAACTTATCCTGTTCTTTGAGTTTGTAAAATATTCAATAGAATCCGAAAATTAGTTGAAGTGTATATAAATTGACCCAAACTCTTTGATTATTCAAAAAAAAAAAAAAAAAAAAAAAAAAAAAAAAAACCACCTCATAGTTACACGAAGTCACTTCACAACAAAAGCTTTTTTTTTTTTTTTTTTTTTTTAATTCTTTCAGTCTTAATTCAAAGTAGGCAAATTGAAGAAAATTTTCCCCGTCGCTCCACCATTGAGCTCAAACTCAAAAGAATACATTTAAGTAGTGCACGTGTGCATTGGACTAGCATGCACGTGTACCCCACAGGAATTGCTCGACCGCACACCATTTGATCTTACGTGTCAATCTGAAACCATGCAACTCACCACATCATTCCACATGCCACACACAATTATTCCTCAACCTGACAACAATCTCTATACATAGAAAACCAACACAAAACTTCTCTTGAATTAACCAATCAACCAAATGTCTCCACTTTCCTCCACTAATCCCCCGCCGTGGGAGGTCCTCAACCTCCTTGCTCACCACCTTGACCCCAAATCCCTGGCCATAGCTTCTTGTGTCTCCAAGTCTTGGCTCATTTCCTTCTCCTCTGACCAAATTTGGCAACCCATATGCACCACTCATTACCCTTCTCTCTCTAACCTCAAACTCACTCATTTATCAATCCCCTATCACCGCATCTACGCAGTCGCCTACTCCGCCACCAAACGCCGCCAAAAACCCCCTTCTAGACCTCGTCTTTTCCTCCACGACCTCATCTTCGCCATCGACTTACGTACTAAGAACAATGTCCCACTCCTTACCATCGCAAAGCCTGTGAATGAACTTTGTTCTGACGCCAATGGCGTGTTCAAGTTTGATGTTAATGTTGACGATTGTGAAGGTTTAGAGATGGTTGAGTTATCAGAAGAGGTGAAAATCGCTTGGAATGTGGTGTTAAAGGGGTGGGGCGGTGCTTTTACGATGATGGATTGCGAAGGGAAGTTAAGTTTTATTCCAGGAGCTGAAGGGTGGTTCTCGGAGGAGCTGCCGTCGCCAAGGTGCTGTTCGAGTGATGTGGCAAGTGGGATTGTGGCAGATATGAAGTTAGGGATTTGTAGCAGAAGAGGAAATGGTGGGAAAGCAAGGGTTGAGAAAGTGAGCATAGGAATGTTGAGTATTGTAAATTGGAGATATGTTAATGTTGATGACGGACTTAGATACTTGCAACATTTTCTTTTACCAAACGACGAGTGTTGGTGTCATGGTGTGTAAAATATTTTTGTTTATCACTTTAATAAAAATTTTGTTCCATAGCTGAAGAAGGTCTTTTATTGAAGACATAATCAGTTCCGTAGTACACTTCAGTCAGCTCAGCACACAACATGATTTAAGAAATGACTTAGTCCATCTTTTGACTGTTTGCGCCTTTCAAGCCAAAGTTTTATGTTATTATCTTTAGTCACCCAGTTGAGTCTTACTGTATATATTTAGCCTTGATTTTCTTTCTTTCAACCTATAATAACCTGTCCCATTTAACCCTTAAACACATTTCCTACCCATGACTTTCTTTTAAGAGGAAATAATCTGAATTTTTGAATGTGAAATGTGCGTGGCTTCGAGATTTGTGCAAGACTTTGTGAGGATGTTTGAAGGAACGGGTTGGGGGTTGTTGTGTGGGAAAAAAAAAAGGATGTTGGGTGATATCCATGCTTCTTAAATTTCTATAAGTTAATGTTTAATTGATCCAAAATAATAATAATAATGAAAAAAAAGCAATTCAATAAGGAAGTATGAAAATGGTACAGATTTCAATTGTGGTTGGGGAGAGTGATACAATAAAAACAAAAAAAAAACAAAAAAAAAAAAAAAGGATTTTGGATTTGAGAGAGTAAGTTGTTTTGAGTGACTGTCTTCTATGAAATGTAAGATTATTTCTCTTAATTGTTTGAATCCCTTATGTTCTTTCATAATCCAATACCTTAGCCTAACATTACAAGCTTAATGAAGTCCTAACGATCTGAAGTTGTGTGTTGCTCTACATTCGTGGAGAGTGATCTGAAAAATAGGCTATGGAGTTGTGTTTTTAATGTTTTCTATTTTATGGGATAAAAATGTTGTTTTCTTTTGGAGATTGCTATGAAACCACCTCTAAGCCTTGGATTAACAGCCTATGGATTAACTGTGATGGAGATTTGAGAACGAAGGTGAAATTGATTTTTAGGATGTTCTTGGATGTGGTTGATCATTGCTTATTCTTGTTGTTATATGTGCATGCAATGTATAAGACATATTTATTGATGTATCCAGGAAACCCATGTTTTGTATATATGTGTGTTAGGAATTTGTAGGATGTTTGTGGGTAGCATCACTGAAAACCCTCACGAGATTATAACTCGTCCACTAGGGGGACTTAGGGGTTTAAAGGCTTATTGCATATGCTAAATACAATCGTATCAACCTACGGAAATGGTTTAGTTAGGATAGATTAGTTAGAATTAGATTTTATTGCTTTCATTGCTAGGGACTAGCAATAAGCTGGTTGGGGGTTGTGTTGAGTGGTGAAAATACGGATTTATTTTATGATTTGGGGGTGAAATTGTAAGAAATTCAAGGTTTAACGCATTATTTAGGATGAATTTCCTTACTTGTTTTATTATCTTCTAGAATCATAGGTTTTGTTGTGTTTTCAGGTATTAAGGTCCAAAAAGATGGACTATTCGTGTTGTGTTGGTGTTCGGACATCCGGGACCCATTGAGTGTGGATAAATCAAGGCGAGTAGAAAAAGAGTGAAATTCCGCAAGTGCGTTGTAACACGCTTTTCTAAGCCAGGTGTGAAAACAACGAAATTGATATTGTGCCCCAGCGAAGAATCATCGCTCTATGGTGAAAAGTCGGTGAATTCCAAATTGCACTGTGGCGCACTTCATCCATGCCACAGCGTGATCGGGTTCTTGTTGAAAGAAAAATCACCTGGAGTCGCGCCGTAGCGCAATTCAAGTGCGCCACGGCACAAATCGTGATATTTGGAAAAACTCTACATTTTCAACCCTAATTTTGGCGACCAGTATTTACAATTTTTCCATTTTGCCTAAAAACTATATAAAGGAAACTTTAGTGCGATTTTCATAATTATTAAGTTATATAAAACACTTTTAAACATTCGCGGCTTGGAGAGAGTGTTTGATTGTGTAAAGCTAAACCTTGATCATCTTGAGTAGATTTTGCATCCAAATGAATAAGGGTGAGTAGAAAAACGAAGATAAAGTGGGAAGCTTCCAAAAATGAATTTCTTCTATTCAGATTAAGAATGGAGTTTTTACAGCTTTTAATGTATGAGTACAGAGAAAGAGTAAAGTTGCTCTTTAAGAAGAAGCAGCTAATCTTAACAAGAAAAAAGACTACTAACACTAAAACTACACCGTTTAACATAAAAGCAACACCTTATTGATTCAACAAATAAAAAATGACCCTTAATCTTTAATATATTAACATTCCCCCTTAAAACTAGAGTAGGTAAATTTCCAGTTTATTATATCAACATTCCCCCTTAAATTGGAATAGGTAAATTTCCAGTTTAGCTTTTACTAGTAGGAGCTTTTAAAATTCTCATTCTGAATCAGTTTAGCTGTTCATTCTGAATTGCTGTAGCAATATCTTGCACGCATTTTTCAGTCGGAAAAGAAAAATCTTGCAGACTTCATTCTGAATCAATTCAGTTGTAGCAATCTCTTGCATTCTTGAAAGAAGTTCTGCCACGCTTCTTTTTGCTTTTTGATTACTTCAATTAATTACACTTTGTAATCATACACCAATCAGTTACACCTTAGCTCAATTATTACACTTGTCTTAACTTCAGTTCAGCTGCCATGTGAGCTTAAACTTCAAATTTAGTACATTCAATTCTTCTATGTCTCAAGTCAGTAGCAGGAACACAAATATAGTACCTCAAAAATTCGAATTTACTTCATGCTATATTGCTACACCTCAGTTCATCAGTGACAAAAAAAGGGAAAATGCAGCACACAAAAATATTTCCAGTTCTCAAGACATTTCCAGCGGCAGAGTGCAGAGCAATCATAAGAAATTTCCAGCAGTAGTATGTACAGCATACATAAAATGTTTCCAGCACCAGAATGCAAAGCAATCATAAGACATTTCTAGCAGTAGAATTCAGAGCATACAAAAAGTATTTCCAGCAGCGAGATAGTAGCAAAATGTAAAATACAAAATGCAAATTGTAATCAAAATACTCTAAAGGATAATTGATTTACTAACAACATTCAACTTACTTCGTAATTTAGCAAATTGTGCTACTGTTAAGGCTTTGGTCAAAAGATCAGCTATTTGGAGCTTAGAAGGCACATATTGAATTATTAGCCTTTTCGCTAACACCTGCTCCCTTATTTAATGAGCATCAATCTCTGTTTGTTTAGTACGAGCATCAAACATAGGATTGGAGGCTAGAGCTCCGAGACTAACATTATCACACTAAATGACATTTGTGGCATTAAGCTGTAGGCCTAACTCTGTAAACAAACTCTGAAGCCAAGCAACTTTAGTTGCTGTTTGAGCCAAGGCTTTATACTCTACTTCGGTAGAGGAAAGTACAACCACCTTCAGCTTTCTTGAGCTCCACTGGACTAAGTTAGGTCCCATGTAAACACAACACCCACTTGTGGACCTCCTATCCTCTAAATTACTACCCAAACTAGCATCAGCATAAGATTCCACATTCAAGGTGCTGGCTGGCTTAAAAATTAGACCATAGTCAAGTGTACCCTTGATATATCTGTTAGTGTATGCCCTAGGAATTAATCGTGTTGTCGGTTTCAAGACATCATATCTTGTAAATGTATTATGAATAAAAGAAAGTGTTCTTATTTCACATGTTGATTTTTTGCTTTATTTATATTATATTATATTTAATATTGCATGTGAAATGTCCGGATGACATGGATCTTTAGAAGATCAAATCATCAAAGAATTCCCTATGCAAGTAATGTTAATTAGGCAATAACATTTCATAGTAGGCATGTTAAATGTCTCAATTGAATATCATGTGATGGCATTAGTGTGGGTGATTATAAGAGGTATGTCACTAAGGCATTAGCATGGATAAACGGTTAGTGAACTGTTTATCGAATATGACCGATTATGATAAATCACATGGATATAGTCAATGACGCATCGTAGGATCGTGCTAGTGTACCACTGATCCTTATACATGAGACATCACGGTTGGATAATTCAACATAGGATGCATATGGTTCATATGGTGTATAAGCACAAGACTAGTTATGTCTTGTGTAATAAGTCGGTTTGGTCATATGCTATTCATGTGCGAGGACAAGTGATGGTCAAGATAGGATCCGTTAACTCAAAATAGTCTAATCTTGAGTTCCCAGACGAATGTCAATAAACATTAGAAAAGGGAAATCTCTGGCCAGAGTATAATGAATGTCAGATGAAAAGTACTTTCATGTTGACGAGTTCCATTGTATCGATTTGACAATTTGATTAAAGATTAAGTTAAATGTTTTGACATACCATGAACCATTCTTAATCGGATTAGATAACGGAGGGATTTGACTACACGACATGTACAATCAGAATAAGTTCATTGGAATTTACACTTCATTGTGGTTTAGGGGTTATGGAACATTGCTAGACGTCTACCATAATTAGTGGAAGTTTCAATTATAAAGAATTATAACGAAACATATCAAAATCAGATATTGGGCCCACGGCTAGATCAAAGTGAACCAAAATGGTCACACAAAAAACTAAGCTCAAGGAGAGAGAGTAATACATATAATTAATTAGATTAATGATGTTCGGACGTAAACAGTTGCATTCGAATTAATGTATTGGTGAAAAATGATTATCCATGGATAGCTATCACTAACAAAGTGTAATAAGAATTAATTAAATATTATTATTGAATTGGATTCAATGATGGGGGCAAAAGTGCATTGGTTTTATTCTAAAGGGTTAGAATATTTAATGGAATTAAAATTTGGTCTAATTATGAATTAACCATAAAACCAAGGACTTGATATAAATGTTTATTCTAAGTTAATTTTAAATTGTTTGAGGCCTTCCCAAAACAATTTAAAATTACACTTTGTGCCCATGGTATATAAATTAAGTTTTGTGCCATTTTAATTCAATTGAATCAATTAAAACAAAAAGCAATCTCTCACTTTCTCTCTCACTGTCTCAGCTCTCTCATCTTTGGCTTGGGTGGACTTCATTTTGAGTTTCTTCATTCTCTCTTGAAGAATCTAGACTCCAAGTTTCAACATCAAGCTTTTAATAGCAAAAGGAATTGGTAATTTTCTATCATTTTCTTACATTAATATGTTAATGT